GCGCATTCAGTTGGCCGCACCGCAGCCGACTCGTCAATAAATGAGTACAAAACAGCGTTTCCTAGCACCTGTCGCTTAGTGATTGTTTGGAATTGGCGTAGTTCTTCTGTTAATATCACATGCACTTTTTTTTGTTTTTTTTGTTTAACTGGAAGCCAGTGTAAGGACCTGAGGACTGGTGTGATATGCTCAGATTTTCTGGTTCTAGTCAGAATTCTGGCAGCAGCGTTCTAGATGAGCTGCAATAATGGTCTTCTTGGGAAGACCGGTGAGGAGACCATTACAATAGTCCACCCTGCTGGTGATAAAGACATGAACAAGTTTCTCCAAGTCTTGACTGGAAACAAAACATCTAATTCTTGCAATGTTTTTTAGATGATATTATGCTGATTTAGTTAGGACACTTTAAAAAAAACATATGACCTGCTCTTTAAATGACTTTTGGAGTCTTGGGAGCATCAAGCAAATCACGTTTTGCAATATATGCCATTGTTTTTGTTTGTTTGTTATTTCAGTGTGTGTGTATGAATGGTAGAGAAAGCTTTGATGGAGTTAAAGATTATAGTATATTATAGTTATTAATTTTCAACAATTAAAAACAATCAATTTATAAAAAGTGAAAAATATAGTTATATAATACTGTATATCTATATTTATGGTTATAAGTGAATCAAGGAAATTATCTTATACGTTTAAAAAGATGAAATCTAAATAAAATATACATGTATTGTGAATTTAAAAACCATATTTAAAAAATGTGTGAAAATATATTTTTCTCTTAAATGTCATATTTTTATATTGGCTGTGAGGTAGGGGTGTGCGATATATATCGTCTGCGATAATATCGTACTTAAGGTACCAGCACAATAACACACTCAGCAAAATATCGTCTAATTATCGTTATCGATAAAATCCCATAAAATATCGAGATATAATTTTTTGTCAATATCGCACACCCCTACTGTGAGGATTCTCAGTTTAAATTTGTTTATTTTATAGCTGTTTTTTAGTTATTCATTTTTCAACAATTAAAAACCTAATAGGCCTAAATGTATTGTAAAACCTAAATTTTAAGTAAGTTCAGGAAATTCTCATATACTTTTACAAACAATGACACATTTAAAAAACTAAATATTTTTCTCCTAACTGTATGTGTCTCTCTGTATTTTCTCAGTTTAAATGAAAGTTTATTTTTTAACTCTAGAAATATACCTCCTTATTTGGTGTTGATTTGAGTTCATTAGCTGGTTGATTTGTGTCTTAACGGGTCTCCCTGTTTCTCTCTCTCAGCAGTAGTCAGTCATGCCGCTGGTGAAGAGGAGTATCGAGCCCAAGCATTTGTGTCGAGGAGCTCTGCCTGATGGAGTGCCCAGTGAGCTGGAGTGTGTCACCAACAGCACCCTGGCGGCCATCATCAAACAACTGGGCAGCCTGAGTGAGTGGCATCCTGCTTTTCTCTCTTTTTCTCTCCAATATAAAAAAAAAATCATTATTCATCCTTTTGGCAGTATTCAATTCATAGGGTGTTTTTATTTATTTATTTTTTTATATATTTAGTGTAGACACTGTAAAAATATAGTTAAAATAATTGGGCCATAATTAGTCAGAAAGAGCTTTATTGCCAAGTATTAGGGCTGCACAATTAATTGAAATTAAATCGCAAAGGCGATAAATCGCGATTAGGCAGAAGCAGCGATTGTCATGCGTATCTTTCAGTGAAGCACGGTTCTGTTATCAGCAGTAAATCTCCATCAGAAGGCCAGAGCGCGCTCTCGCGCTGAAACTTCAAATACGCCTTGCAGAAGAAACCCAGGAAATGCCTATAGCGGTTGCTGAATAAACAGAAGATTTAACTGCTTTCGTTAATTCAACATGACTAATAAACACACGACTATGACAATATATGGTTTATCTGAGTTCGTCTTATTATCATTTTTATTATAATAAAGTATGAAATAATGCAATGCTAATCGACATAGCCTTTATCACTGCTTAGAATACTATGAAATATGTTGCGTGCCTTATTCTGTGAAAGAAGCCACATCATCTCACAGAAGGATGTATTTCAAGCTCACGACTGACTTTATGAAGTGAGTTTGGAGTAAAAACATGTTATTAAATGTGGTATTTTCACATGCTTTCAGATGGAGCAGCATTTACTACACAGAGCCGTAGTTCACTGACAAGCTACGCAAACAGCTTTTATAATCGCAGAATGATTTCTTCGATTTCGTAATCTCACGATTAAATCGTCTGTGATTATGAATGCGATTTTCGTAGCTTGTCAGTGAACTACGGCTCTGTGTAGTAAACGCTGCTCCATCTGAAAGAGACTAGAGTGCAACATTTGAAAGAGAGAATGGGCTGAGTGTGTGGGGTCCAAAGTGATTTTCTTAGCCCTTTTCCTCACTCTGGAGTAGGGCTGGACAATAATTCAATATCAATATGTATCGCGATATAATTTTTTTCAATAACGGTGATATGATTTTTAAACACATTTCCGATATTTCTATATACATTACCAGTGTTTCCCATACATTAATTTATTTGTGGCGTTTGACTTCGTTGAATAAACATGAGCACTGCACGTTTCAAAATTAAAACGCGGCGCGGGTGTTTTATATGAATGTATCTCTGAAGGGAACCGACTGTCTTCAGAAAAGTTTCGATGACATTTTTATTTTATCTGATAAAGAAGCATTCATGAGCGGAGCTGCTTTGATTACAGCCATTACTGGAGAAACCGCTAGTT